ATAGTGTGATCTTGTCCTCGTGAGGTGGGGTACACCGAACCTAGAAGGCTAGAAAAAGGAAGACTTGAAAGTAAAGCAAACGCACCTTGGGAGCTTTATTTAAGAGAGAAGGGACTGAGCGTGCTACTTAACTTTATCGATTCTAGTTTGAATAATGTTGCATGGAATTTATATGTAAAATACTCATTAGTGTTCTTTTTTAGCTTTAACGCTCATTGCCATTCGTCTCAAACTTTATTGTCATCTTCTCTTACAAGATAAAAAATTGCTAAAAAAAAGAAAAGAATAGAAGTAAAGGGGTTCTATTCTACTCCGCCACTTAAAGCAATACCAGCCCCATTTTTTAGTAGACCAATTTACTATATAATTCGTGGCTGTCATCTTCCCCGCAATCAAAGCTAAGCATATCCTATACACCCAAAAATTAAAGAAAAGAAGTAAAGCTAAGAAAATAATGCTAAATCAAGAGAAGACAACTTTAGTTTAAAATTTAGACACTGGATAGGAGTAGGTATCCAACCATACCTGTTCCTGCATCATATTGCATCACAAAATTATGTGGCATTTACTTCATTTTTTTTTTTTTTTGACAGCCCTTATTAACACTATTGTATAACCTTACACAAATAAACTGTTACACAAATTTAAATTAAGGTTGGTACGGCCTTACAGGTTTTGAAGTGAAAAAGTCATTCCCATTTAACTCACGAGAGGTCGAGTACAGCAGACAGCAGCTTCTTTATAATGATCTAGAAAAGTAGAACTAAGAATACAAGAAGGGCTACAATTATTATAATCTAAGCACCCTGTAAAAGTTATTCTGTCCTTTTTTTATATAGCCGAGTAAACCTTTGTCCAATAAAAAAAATTGTGGAAAATAAAGTATCAATCAAAGGAAAGATATGCTAGAACTGCTTTGGAAAGACTCAATATCGATCTAATGCAATGGACAATGGTTATAGCTGGCTTGTATCCTTCAGATATTGCTGACACCATTTTTTATAGGAAACTCAACAAATTTTAGAGCTACCATAAAGTCAACTGAGCAGGTGAGGCTCTCTTATAAGACAGAGAACAAAAACTGCAGATTAACCACCCCGTTATTTGATGTTGTCATAGTTGACTGGAAGCCCTCTAAACTCAGGACTCAGCTATAGAGCAAGTGAAGGATCAAAACTGTTATTGGGTTGGCTTGGCTGATTAAAAAACAGGTTGTCTTGGACTTATGGTTGTACCTAACGAAAATGTACTAGTGAAGTATATGTCTTTGAACAGAAAAAGCACATGTCGATAGTGTAATTGATTAGACTTGATCATTGTTTTTTCTAATGAAAAGCAAAACTAGTGTTTAAGAAATAACACAAGAAAGGAATTGATGCGGATCTTAAAATAACAGACCAATGGTAATATATAACTTTCAATGCAAGAATACAATTACAAATGCTGGAGGAATCAGGAACGATAGGTAAGGCCTCTTCTATTTAAAGTATTTTTGCATTATACGAAACTAAAAACATGCTGCTCTGCATTTAGATAAGACTCAGACCTTCAAACTATTTTTGTACAACTATAGCTTTGAGTGATTTAGCATAACAAGTATTAAAAGCTAACAACTCTTATCTTCATCGTTTGTATGGATTTGAATACTATTTAGCTACCGACTCCAACTTTTTCTTTCCTCCCATCGTGCACTTTTCCTAGTAGTTACCTGTCATGCAATGTTCTGCCAAGTTCTTTCCTATAAATACCATTCCCCTTCACTGTGCTCATCCAATTGAGTTTGCAAACGCCTCTTCAACTACTCTTCTATAATATTTGTTCTGTGAAGTGATCTTGAAAGGAACAACAATGGCCAATTCTATAAACTTTCTCCTGCTTCTTTCGCTACTAGCCTTTGCTCCCTTCTGTTACTGTAGAAAGAAAGCAGTGGGTTACCTCTACCCACAATTTTACGATGAATCATGCCCCAGAGCTCAAGAGATTGTCAAGTCCATCGTTGCCAAGGCTGTTGCAAAAGATCCCCGCATGGCTGCTTCGCTGCTGAGACTACATTTCCATGATTGTTTTGTCAAGGTATCTGCATATGAAAGGCCAACATTAAACAAGCCAACAACTAAGTTATCTAGTGAATAAAAATGGAAAACTTATAGTAGTGTCATAACTATCTGATCTATGAGTTTTACTAATGTTCATAGTTATATTTATACTTAAGAGAGTTCATATTCTTCAAATGCATGATTCAGAGTTTATGTTGCAGGGCTGTGATGCATCCGTGTTGCTAGATAGCAGTGGAACCATTATCAGTGAGAAGAGGTCAAATCCCAACCGTAATTCTGCTAGAGGATTTGAAGTCATTGATGAAATAAAATCGGCATTAGAGAAAGAATGCCCTCGTAAAGTGTCTTGTGCAGACATTTTAGCTATAACTGCGAGAGATTCAACTGTTCTTGTAAATATTTCCTTTTGTTTTGCAATCCTTAATCTTTGATTATCAAAAACATACTTATCAAGCCTGATTTACTATCCCTACAGACCGGTGGACCAAGCTGGGAAGTACCTTTGGGCAGAAGGGACTCTCTAGGTGCAAGCATTAGTGGCTCAAATTACAACATTCCTGCCCCGAACAACACATTCCAGACCATCCTAACTAAGTTCAAGCTTAAGGGGCTTGACATTGTTGATCTAGTTGCTTTATCTGGTAGAATCTTAATACTTATCTGTTTATGTTCTTTTGCTTGCACCATAGTTTTTGGATGAGATGGTTCTTTATTATGATCATCATCGCCTCATTTTTTAATGCAATTAAGTAAACACAAGGTGGAAAAAAAAAATGAGCTTGTGCAATATTACGCTTTAAACCTTGCTTGAAATAACGTGTTAGAAAGATATAATATAAAACTATTGAAAGTTCACCAGTTACAAACTTAAACTTTTGGGTTGAAATGTTTCTTTACACTTTCAGAACTTCACTAACTATTGTCTCCCTCAAGGCCAAGAGTTGTCAACCACCATTATTTTTCTCAATTTTATTTTACTCATTTGGTGGTATTCCATAGCTGCACCTACGGCATGAACATTGTTTGTGTAATTGTTATAGGAAGCCACACAATAGGAGATTCCCGGTGCACAAGTTTCAGGCAAAGACTCTACAACCAAACTGGGAATGGCCAGGCAGATTTCACTCTTGACCAAAACTATGCTGCTCAATTGCGAACTCGGTGCCCAAGATCTGGTGGGGACCAGAATCTCTTCGTCCTGGACTTTATCACCCCAATAAAATTTGACAACAACTACTTCAAGAACTTGTTGGCTAACAAGGGTCTGCTAAGTTCTGACGAAGTTCTCTTGACAAAGAATCAAATGTCTGCAGATTTAGTGAAGAAGTATGCTGAAAGCAACGATCTTTTCTTTGAACAATTTGCCAAGTCCATGGTTAAGATGGGAAACATTACTCCTTTAACAGGCTCAAGGGGAGAGATCAGAAAGAACTGCAGAAGGATTAACACCTGATGATGAAGTAATATAATTGCCATGCCGCACGTGTGAAACTTTCAGCCACATTTTCCTTCATTTATCCACAATAAGAAACAGGAGAGTCAACTGATCCATCCATGATGAGTTGATGAGTCCTGAGTATATACACTTGGGCGTTTTGATAGCATTGTTGTGTGTTTAAATGAAATTTATGCAATTAGATGTTTCCATGAGTTCTTGAAGTTTGAAGAAGTTGAAATTTATGCTGGTCTTGAAGTTTAAATAAAATTTATGTATTTAGATAAATGAACTTGAGGAAAGGTGATTTTTGTTGTTGAAATATGGGAATTGGGAAGCATAAATAGTGATAAGGAAAGGCCTCAAGTTGAATTACCCGGTTCAGCAATGAAAGGAGGGGCACAATCGTAAAATGCATTAATGTTGCATTACCTGAAATTTTATTTTTCCAAATGGATGATCAATTCAATTACTCAACTAATTTCATTCGAGCTTTTTTATCTAGGACTTAAAAATTATGTCATTTTATTATGAATACAATTGTGGAAAAAAAAATTGAGAACCGTTTATTTTAATCTGCCGGCGATCTTATTCCTAGGGATTATGCCCAATTACTGCAACAATCGTTACTGTTACCACATTTCTGCTAAACCCTAGCTGCACTTTTCTAATCCATTGTAAGCTCCTATGCTATGTCTTTAATTATGAATCCAAAATCAAATCTTTTTATACTTTCGAGCGCAACAAGGCCAATCATTCAGGAGCGAGAAAAGGGTCAGCTTCCAATTATTGCCAAAACGAAGAAGGTTGGTGCAAAAGTTACAACTGAGTAAGGTATTGATTACTGAGATTAGCATGTTACTAATGGAATTTATTTATTTTTTTAGTTGCTGCGATAGTGTTTGCTATACCGCACTGTGTTGCATGACATAGAGTGGAATTCTTTCTACCGTGCATTTCTTGTAAATGAAAATGGATTGCGAGATGCAATAATAAATAAGATAGTCTTTTAGTACGCTTGTGTTCTCGAGTTTACTGTAGCAAAATCTAAGAGGTTAATAATGCAAAACTTAGCATGTGGATAGTGGTGGTATGTTAAGTATGAATCAAATTGATTAGGTGTGGATTCTTTGCAATTGCAACTTTGTAGGATTGGCAAGGGGTTAGAAAGGTTCCGAGGAGCATGAAGTTACTCTATCTCAAAGGCATAGTCTTCATGGCTGACGTTCAAAATTTCGTAGAAATATGCAAAAAGAAACTTACACGTGTTAATGAAAGCATTAGTAAAGGTAAAATGCCACGGCAGGTGTAGTCGCCGAGATTACCACTGTCACTGTTATGCTTCTCTTTTCTGAACCCTTTTCTGGAGATATTAAAATTTTAAATTATAAGTAAAAATTTGAAATAAATCTTGGCCATTTACATGCAACTGAGATATCTGTTTGTGAGCAAAAATGCCTCATTGAATTCGTAGTATCTGTTCAACCTCAGAAAAAAATGTACCTGGTGTCGCTCTAGTTATTGGAAGTCATTCCCAATGGATGAAAAAGACCCTTTGTGCATAGCAGTATGCACAAAATAGTGGAAAGACTCATCAGTGCTTGACACACTTCATCAGAGCAGTATGAACATTGTCAACAATAAACAGAAGAGCGCTAGCTGAACAATGGAGTGCCATAACTTGAAAATACTTCCATTCCTTCGATGAAAGTTCACGTCATCCACCAACATTGAGCCTGCAGTTAATCTGCAGTACCATATGCAATAATGAATGTAAGCTTTCTAATTTCTTGCTTCCACAAACAATGTATTTTACATACTATTCTTTTATATCAAATATCGTATTAAATTGGTGAATCAGTTAGCTTACCAATTGCCAAAATGTCCGTAGTCGATTCAATTGCTGGAGCATTTGTGAACTCGAGCAAATCTTTAGTTCGAAGTCGATGTTCAAATTCTACTGGCATGCCTATAATTTTTAATTTCTTCAGGGAAGTGACAGCTTTGAGTCCTTCTGGAATCCTTTTCAGCTTCTCACAGCGATCAATAACCATGTGTTCAATCCTTGGCATTGCCCTTTCCTCAACTGTCCACTCTTCCAATTCTTTCAAAAGAATAAGTCGCAAAATATGCAACTGTGAAAACCCTCCAGCAGTGAAGGTCAATTCTGGCCAATTGTAGGCCCCTTTACCCAAAATGAGCATTTTAAGGTTTGGCAACCTCTCCAGTTTGGCAATGGACTCCTTCTGTAGGTGGGAATTATGTAGAGTTAGTTTTAAAAGGTTCGGTGGGAACTCATGAGGATCAGGTAGCTTCTTGATCTTCCCATTTAAATAGAGCTTCTGAAGATGAGTGCACTGGGACAGCTGCATAAAGATTGGAAACTCATCCTCCTCAGATTGAAGCGATAGTGACAGTGAATGAAGGTTGCGTAATCCTTGTACAGTAGAAAGTACAGAATTCACCATTTGTCCTGATAATTCATATATCCCCAGTTGCCTAAGATTGCTCATATTTGCTAAACCACCATCCACTATCCAGTTTCCAGCCTCAATGTATGGTAGGCTTTGTAGATTGGTTAATGTATCCAATCGTAGATGTCCAATATCTGGAGAATCAAATGGAGTATACAAGAGTAGGTGTCTCAAATTCACCAACTTCCAAATCACATTTGGTATTTTCTTAAGAAAACAACAATACCTTAAATCAAGTGTCTGTAGGTTTTGCAAGTTTCCAATGGAAGGTGGAAGTTCTTCTTCTAGATTAGTTTTCCTCAATCCCAGATACCTTAATTGAATCAGGTCCCCTATGGTGCTTGGCAGGCTAACCATCCGAACACCATCTAATTCTAATACCCTGAGTAGCTTAAATTTCGTATAGATGAAATTCAATTTCTTTTCTTGCAGAAAATTCATATGAAGCCAGATTTTCCTCACTATATCTGCATTATATTCTCTATTAAAAAACAGCAGGGAACGTGAATGATCGGCATTGTGTTTTAAGAAGTCATACCGGTCATAACAAGAATGAATGGAGTGCCGCCGGGATTTAGTTAGCTGGGATGCTGATGAGCCTGCCAAGTCTCCGAGAAATACTTTCAGAAAATATTCCTCTTTTCCTTTAGATACTGAAAGATCTCTAAGAAGATCGTGGATGCGAATTGTTTTTACCCTGCCTAATGAGCTTACCGTTCCCACTTGAATCATGCACCTACCAATCAACTCATTTAAGTATTTCTGAGCAACACCTTCTGCAGTTTCTTCACCTTCTTGTGGTAAAAAACCTTCCGCAACCCATAGTCTGATCAATTTTTTTGTCTGAATGTTCACACCCTCTGGGAAAAGACCCAAATAGAGAAAGCATGATTTCAAGGGAGGAGACAAATCATTGTAGCTTAGGGCCAAAATTCTTGCTATCTTATCTTGCTCTTGCAAGTGCCAGCTGATATTTTGTAGCACCCGTGCCCATTCCCCGCTTGACTTAAGTTTCCTGGACAATAAACCACCAACCACTACCACAGCCAAAGGCAGACCTCCACATTTTACCACAATTTCCTTCGCAAGATTCTCCAATTCAGGGGGGATGTCATTTGCTCCGGGGAATGCTTTGTAACATAGCAATTTGAAACTCTCATCTTCTGTCAATGGCCGTAACTGATGAGGATTGCTACCAGCATCAGCATGTAAAGCAACTTCCCAAATCCTGGTTGTGAGCATTATTTTACTTCCCATCTTCTTCCTTCTGGGAAAAGCCAACTTTAAACCATCCCAAACCTCCATCCCCCAAATGTCATCAAGCACCACTAAATACCTTTTCTCATCCAACACATTGTACAGCTTGTTGGTCAACTCTTCCTCCGGCCATTTCTCCAATCTATCCATTTCATCTCTGGCAAAAGCATCCACATCTCTGAGAATCCCTAGCAGAACGTCCCTCCTTGTAGACTCTTTAGAGACATAAACCCACGCTTTGCACTCAAAATGGTTGGTGATCTTGCTGTGATTGTAAAGCTTCTTGGCCAAAGTAGTTTTCCCCAAACCACCCATGCCAACAATGGAAACCACATGATGCCTTGGCTCCATGGCAATAAGCTGGGTAAGGAGTAACCCGATGTCATCTTCAAGCTCAATAACATACTCTTCTTCAGAATAAGGCGATAGCTGTCTCCATTGCCTCAACCTTTCACTGCTACTGCTGCCTTCTCGATCGCCACTCATGACAACACCGTAGGTTTCGCGCCTGTCGGATATATCCCTGATTTTAGACCGGATCTTGTCGATTCTTCTTCCCACCTTGTACATATGTACTGGTCTGAAAACCTTGTCCAACCTGTTTGCCATTGTTGCCCTGTACACATAGGTTTCTATGAGCTCCTCTGCTTCGAAAGCCACGTCTCTGATTTCGGATACCCACATGCGAACACGTTCGTTCTCTTCTTGTTTTGCATCTGCGTCCCTCAGAAAGCTCTGCATCCATCCCAATTCATTCTTCAAACGCTCTACTTGGCCTCTTACCCCGGACAGTTGGTCTCTTACCCCGGACAGTTGTGAAACTGCCGCCCCAACAGCATGTTCGAGTAGCAGCTCTGTCAATTTCGTAACAACCGTTGACACGGCAACCTCAGCCATCTTTATCTTCTTGTTTGCTATTCTCTACTCTCTACTCTCTGTCTCTCAGCTTCTCCCAACAACAGGAGGAGATTTTATCTCGTGTCGGTGCCAATAGGGGGGTTTCGGTTCCACCACCTCCGTGTGTGGTTGGAAGCTTCCTTCCAAGTTCTGATCAACTACTCTTCCTTTTTCTTGGCAATTTGACCAACAAAGCACAATACAATTTTGAGCATTCAACTTGATAGTTGTTTCAATCTGGAATATCCATTTGCAAAACTTTTCATTTTTCACATTTTTTCTTTTTTTTCTTTTGTATAAAGCACATTAGATTTAGATCTACACATACCAATGAAAGCACTGCATTCAACTTGATGGCTGAATTCGTGATTGTAAAGATAGCTTGGATGTAAAATTGAAGCCTTTATTTCACTTAACTTTTTTAGAAATATAGTCTTCTATCCTTTGATGTTTTAATATTTCACAAATTGCTTTGATTTCATCATGTTGTTGTGATTCAATTAGTGGTAGATTATAACATTTATTAAAAAAAGAAGTCATAAAATTTATACACAAATCAAAAGATCACAACATGAAAAAAAAAAATATATATCTCATGAGAAGTGTGTTTTTCTCTTTACAAATATCATATAAAAGTGGAATAAGTTAGGTAATTTTTTAATCAGACCTGAAATTTTGAATTCAATAAAATAATTCTTAATAATTTGAACGCGTTAAGTTAGTGTAATTTTTTAAGGATTATGTTTAACAGGTATGAAAATTCGTTCACATTTAAAGTTTTTAAAGTTCATGTAGATAATTTTAGTGTTCATTTTTCTCTAAAGTTACTTTAGATAACTTTATCAAATGTTCGTCGAAACGACGTCGTTTTGAGGCGAAAATCATAGTGTATTTGTAATTTTAATTTATTTCAGGGTTATAATATAATTTATTAATTTTTCAACATCAAAACGACGTCGTTTCGGTGAACATTAGACAAAATTGTCTAAAGTAACATTAGATACTTTTTTCCCATAATTTTATCTAATATTTTGTCTACCCCTTTTTAAAGTTAGATAATTTTATCATGTGAAATCATGTAAAAATAAGAGAGAGAAAAAGAAAACATGGTTCCACATATTTTTGTGTGTGTATTTTGGTAAACATTAAATAAAGTTATCTAAAGTAACTTTAAAAATTTTAAACTTATATATATATATAGGGGCAGGATATTTTTACACCGGTGTAAGAGTTAGAAGTCTTACACTCAATCTTGACCATTGATCCACTTGTATCCAATGGCTCACGTTACTAAAAAATTAGAGCCCTTAGATATAAGTGAGATTAACAGACAAGATTGAGAGTGTAACTTACACTGGTGTAAAATGATCATGACTCATATATATATATATATATATATATATATTTGCCTATCCTTATTTTGTCTACCCTTTTAATAATGTTAGATTACAATCCCATCATATGATGGAGATTTACTATATAAAATAAATTATTTTAATCATTTCTCTCTTCCATTGCCTCTCATTCTTTCTCTTACCTCCCCTTTCTCTCTCTAATTAAAAAAAAAGTAACAAGTTTTTTTTCTCAATTCTCAATTCATCCAACTCAGTCATTGTTATAAGCATTTAATAAAAAATTTATCTTTCTCTCTCTTCAATGGGGCTTCAGTATTAAAAAAAGGTGCAAGCTTTTTTCTCAATTTTACCTAAAAAATTGAAAAGGGTGTCAAGAAGAAACTAACTCGGATGCCCTATGTTATGGAATCAGATAGACCTGTTGTTGGGCGTAACTTATAGAGAACGTAGATTCTTTCCCCACTTTAAGGTGAAAAACAAGATAAGAATAAGGAGATAAGTTGATTTGATTTCAAATTTCAACAGCAAAGTATAAACTTTAATGTAATCGTGGATTAATTCAAAGGAAGGGATTATTCGTGGTTTTCGTATTTTTTGTATTTTTGTGGTTTCTGCCGTGTTCAATTATATCAGATTCAAGAAATTTTGAAAATTATACTCATCCAGCAAAACTATCATGCCATTAATCATTGCATAGATTTAGATTCGAATATAAATTCATGTTGTAAATTATACAAATCGGTAGAGAGAAAGGGGAGGAGAAAGAAAAAGTGTGGAAGACATTGAGTAGAAAGAAAGGAGAAAAGGGTTTATTTTATTCCGTAAATCTCCACTGTTGCATGTTAGATGAGATTATAATCTAATAGTATTAAGAGAGGTAGGCAAATTAAAAGTAGTCAGAATAACTTATTCCTATATATATTATGGGTTTCATTTTTCTCATATAACATGAGAAAATTTTCTCATATTATTGAAACATCTTGTGTGGGGTCTATATCTATTAAAAAATAAAAAAATATTGCACAAAAATCAAAAAAAATATTAGTAGAAAAAAAAAATTCTCCTACAACAGAACAAATATTTTCCCCAGTATTATTATGTGTAAAAATATATTTATCTTTGAAAAGTATCCTTACATATGTTAACAATTATTTCAGTAACTATCCAAAAAATTTCTTATTTCTTAGTTGTTTAATGTGCGACATCCATTTCCAAACTCGAAGAACGAAGATTCCTTTTATCTCATTTAATCAGTTCTCGATCGTTTTCCAGCACTGCCCTACTTCACAATGAACATTTTTCCACTTCATAAATTTGGCCGGCATAAATAAACCAAGCCGTTACTAATTATTTATTTTCTTGTGGGGCCTTTGACTGACTTTGGGACCTAAATGCGTGAAAATAACCTCCAGTAGCCTCTTTCGCGGACTTTTCTCTCATGTAATGGAAACGCTCTGAACGCACAATAATAGATTTAGATTCTTTAATTTGAGAGTCTTGAATTTAATATAATTTGTCATATAAAAAGAGAAATATAGAGTAGTATACTCATGCCCCAACTGGTGCAGCTCAGTTGGTAACTTGGCGCTGAGTTAATGGGGTTGGATATGTATTCGATTCCTGCTGAATGCATTCTTGGGGAGGGGGCTGAACTTTTAGCCATCACTGTTCTCCCGCACTCCGGATTAGTCCCATAGCCGGCTCAAAGAGTCGAAGCTCGTGGGGATACCGGAGGGAGCCAACTCGTCTCAAAGAGATGATTAGGGTTGGGTAACTCCAAAAAAAAAAGAATTTTTTTGTAATCTCTCTTTAACTAGTAAGATTCCAAATATTTAAGCCTAGCAAATGGCAACACCTTAATTTAGTTTTAATATTTAAAGTAGCATAATAATTAAAGTAAAAAGAGAATTACTCCACAAAAATACGTCACGCAATCGGTCATTGACTTACGGCTTAACTTAGTTTTTTTTTTTTTTTAACTCTAGGGGAATTACTCCACAAAGATTAACTCAAAATAACCTTGCGAAAAGTCAACTAAATACAAAACCCAAATATCAGGGGGAGGGATGGGGAAATACACAAGTTATTCTCCACTAGGTGATACAGTGGGTATTTTCAAAATAACTTTTTAATGTTTAACATGATTTAGCCTATTTACTGAATGAGATAGATTAAGATTCTTTGAAAAGCTTATTTAGCTAAAAATTCTGGATTTAGGTTATAAAAAAGTCTTTTAAACCTGACAGGTCAACTTATTTAAGTAAATGTAAATAATATATTATTTTATTATTGTTATTAATTATTATTGTTATATTAAATGTTTTATTATAATATTTTAAAATTGTATACTTGTTTATCTGGGGCAGGATATTCTTACACCAGTGTAAGAGTTATAAGTCTTACCCTTAATCTTGACCATTGATCCACTTGTATCCAATGACTCACATTATTAAAAAATTTGAACCCTTAGATATAAGTGGGATCAGTGGACAAGATTGAGAGTATAACTTACACTGATGTAAAATGATCTTGACCCTGCTTATCTATGTAAAAAACTTAAACTCATTGACTTACATAAATACATAAATGTGTAGATATGTTAACATATTTAGATGTAGGTGTGTGACTCTTTTATAGGCCTTATCATAAATTAGGCCTTTATATAAGTTTTCAGGTCAGATTTGACTTTTTAAAAGGCTTAACCACCAGATTGGATAGGACTAGATCTTAAAAACAAGGTATATGTCAAGCCTATACTTTATGCTCAGAAAATAGATCAAAGCATTTAGGATAAGTTCATGCCTAACCTAACCAATTTCCACTCCTAATTCGACGTTGGATAGTGTCAAAGGTAGGTTTGAAAACACAAATTGTAAGTATGTGAATTTTGTTTTATGTTTAATTATTTTATGGGAAAAGCATTTGTCATTTTAAATGACGAAAAGTTATGTCATTTTAAGAAAAATACAGACACAAAAAATTTGAATTTTAAATTAAAAAAATCACTTATTTTCTCTCTCCCATGATTTCCGTTTTTCTGTGTCTATCTCTCTCCTAAAAAACCACTCACTTTCTTATGTCATTTAAAATGACAAACACCAAACTCTTATTTTATATTAGAGAGATATAAAATAAAATTATTAAAACATCAACTTAAGTTAGTAAGGGCCTCTTTGGTGTGCCGTATAAGGCATGATAATATAAGCTTATACTATACGTTATGACATTTTCAGTTGTTTAGTGTGAACATCATATAGTATAAGTTTATACAACATAATCCCTTAATACATCAAAACGATGTATAACTTAATCCGGCCTAAGGGTGAGGGATAAAGCCTGATAAGAGATTGATGTATTAACATCGTTGACCAATGTAATTCTCAAAAATTAATATATTATTTTAATATTAATCTATTAAAATAAAAATTAATTTTTCAATATACTAATTTTTAAAATATTGCATATTTTTAATTTTATAAAAATTAATTTATATTTGGGTTCGTTTTTTCTGCAGATAACTTATCTGCAGTGAGCCAATACGACGTCGTTTTGGGGCGGAAATCATGGTGTTTTTGTAATTTTAATTTATTTCAGGGTTATAATAGTCTTTATATTTATAATTTTTTAAGATTTCAATACCAAAACGACGTCGTTTTGAGAATAAATGCAGATAACTTATCTGCATTAACTGCAGAAATATTTTTCCCTTTATATTTTGGACACATTGATCAATAAATTTTTATAAAAGTTAATATCATATGACATTTTTTGAAGAATTATATAAATTCTTTATTAGAGGATATTTTTATTAAAAATATTTATTTTTATCATATATAGTATTATACAGTGCATTACCAAATACTAGATGATATTAACTTATATAATATATTATTTTATACAATACCGTGCCAAACGCTGGATAGTATTAAAATTCAATCAGGTCTTATACAATCAGGCCTTATTCTATACTATGTACCAAACATGCCCTTAGTAAGATGGTTATTTTATCATTTTTAAATAAAATTGTTTTTACTACTAAAATTATGTTAGACTAAGGAGGTATTTGATAAGGAGAAATTTTTATGGCAGAGAATCATGATTTTCAAGAATATGTTGGGAAAATAATTTTTTCAAAAATATTACCAAAAAACTATGTGAAATTTTTTCAAGTCATAGAAAATTAGGAATCCAAAAATACCACCATCCTTCAAAAAATTTTATCGAGAATCTGATTTTTTTCTGGAAAATATTAACAATTATTATACCAAATATGGATAAATAAGATTACTCATATCAATTTCTCGGGAATCCAAAAATTTTCTCGTACCAAATGCCCCTCTTAAAATCAAACAAAAATAACTTTTGCGTTAAGTTAAGAATTCGATACTAAATCTTATTACAAAATTATTTTTGAAATAAACGTTTTTAAACATAAATTACTTCATTTCATGTTAATATTTAATTAAAATCGTCTAAAAGTGTGTTTTCAAACATTCACTTAAACATAAAGACTAGAGAGTAATTGAGAGTAACCCAATGGGTGCAGTGCAGCTCAGTTGGTAACTTGGCGCTGAGTTAGTGGGGTTGGATATGTATTCGATTCCCGCTGAATGCATTCTTGGGGAGTGGGCTGAACCTTTAGTCATCAATGTTCCCCCGCACTCCGGCTTAGTCCCATAGCCGGCTCAAAGAGTCGAAGCTCGTGGGGATACCGGAGGGAGCCAACTCGTCTCAAAGAGATAATTAGGGTTGGGTAACTCCAAAAAAAAAAGAGTAATTGAGAGCAGTGAAGAGGGAAAAAATATCTTAAGCCTTTTAATTATTGTACAATTTAATTGACAAATAAATAAATTAAAAAATAAATGGAGGGAGTACTTGACAACATTATGTTATCTAAATATGGTTTCAAAAAAATTGTGAATAGAGAGGGATAGATATTGTTACTATCAGTTTATTTCACTGTTAGATCGATTATGTTGATTGAACGGTTATATTTATTTCTACCTTTGCATGGTTATGAGTCCCCATAATTAATGTGAAAACATTAAATATGGAAAATCATAATCATACAAAAGTAAAAATAAATATAAAGTATTAAATATACGGAGAAGAAAAAATATTTTTAGAAAGTTAAATCAGAACCGTTATATCCATATAATCGATCTAACGGTGAAACAAACTGGTAGTGACATTGATAGTAACACTAGTTGGTAGTAACAATATCCTATCTTTTATGGCTTTAATATTTCTACAGTGAATGTAGATAAGTTATATACATTCACTCCCAAAATGACGTCCTTTTGAGTTGAAAAATAAATTATGATGAAAAAGACTATTATAACCTTGAACTAAATTACAATTACAAAAATAGCTTGATTTCCGTTTCAAAACAACATCGTTTTAGGCTCAATGTAGATAACTTATCTACATTGACGGTAGAAAAAACGAACTCATCTTTTATCTATCGGAAAAGTGGTTGTCATCTTAAATGACACAAAGTTATGTCATTTTAAGATAAAGATAAACACAAAGTAATATTTTTTATTTAAAATTTAAATTAAAAAAAAACCACTCACTTTCTCCTCTATGATTTTCATTCGTTGTGTCTATCTCTCTCCTGAATGACATAATTTATGTCATTTAAAATTACAAACATGAAACCCTTTATATATGTGTGTGTGGATAAAGCATTTTTTCAGTCACCAGATATAAGTTATCTGCAGTGACCACCAAAATTATGTCATTTTGAATTAATGAAGGGTGTTTTTGTAATTTTAGAAAAATTAATGAAGGGTATTTCGGTAAAATTCATATGACAAAAAAAATTACATAAACACCCTTCATTAATTCAAAACGATGTAGTTTTGTTGGGGGTCATTGGAGATAACTTATCTCCAGTGACGGGAAAAATACTTTACCCATATATATGGGTTCGCTTTTTCTATAGTCAATGTAGATAACTTATCTACATTGAGCACAAAACGACGTCATTTTGAGGCGGAAATAAAGGTATTTTTGTAATTTTTCAACCCAAAACGACGTCATTTTGGAAGCGAATGTAGATAACTTATCTACATTAACTTTAGAAATATTAAAGCCTATATATATAGGGTTTAGCGGATGTACAGCTATGTCGTTTTATAGTGTGAAAGCATTAAATATGGAAAATCGTAACCATACAAAAATGAAAATAAATATAAAACATTAAATATGAGAAATCATAATCATACAAAGGTGAAAATAAATATAATATTTCCATTTTCTACAATTAATTTTGAACGCGAACTTCCTTTATCCCACCCAAAACGATGTAGTTTCTAGGTGACTACGCCAATGCTTATATGCAGTCACATTACAAATCATTTTGCCCCCCCCCCCCCCACACACACATATATATATATGGAAAAAAATATTTTTACAGTTAATGCAGATAAATTATTTGCATTTATTTCCAAAACATCGTCGTTTTGGTATTGAAATCTTAAAAAATTATAAAATAAGGACTATTATAACCCTAAAATAAATTAAAATTACAAAAACACCATGATTTTCGTCCCAAAATGACGTCGTATTGGGCTTACTGCAGATAACTTATCTACAGTAACTATAAAAAAAGTGAACCCTATATATATATATAGGGTTTGGTGTTTGTCATTTTAAATGACATAAGTTATGTCATTTTAGGAGATATAGACACAGAAAATGGAAATCATGAGAGAGAGAAAATGGGTAGTTTTTTTTAATTTAAGATTTAAATAAAATTTGTTTTTCTGTGTCTATCTCTCTTTTAAAAGGACAGAGTGTTATATCATTTAAAATGACAAACATTTTTTCCATATATATATACTTTAATGTCTTTATAGTGAATGTAAATAAGTTATATACATTAACTCTCAAAACGACATCATTTTGGGTTAAAAAGTTATCATAAGAAAGAATATTATAATCCTAAAGTAAATTATAATTATAAAAATACTTTGACTTTTGTTCTAAAATAACGTCATTTTTAGTTGAATGTAGATAACTTATTTATATTTTATCTACATTGACCGCAGAAAAAAAAAATAAAAAAAAAATATATATATATATATATATACACACACATATATATATAGGGTTCGCTTTTTCAATGTAGATAAGTTATCTACATTAAACCTAAAACGACGTCATTTTGAGACGAAAATCAAGGTATTTTTGTTATTATAATTTATTTCAGAGGTATAATAGTCTATTTCATTATAATTTTTTAATTTTTCAACCCAAAACGACGTTGTTTTGAGAGCGAATATAGATAATTTATTTACATTCACAGTTGAAATATTAAAGTCATATATATATATATATATATATATATATATATATATTAATTAAAGTCATATATAGAGGTAGGATCCTTTGACACCAATATTAAGTTTAAAATTTGACACTTCGTCTAAGAGTCATTAAATAAAAAAAGATCAACGACTCTGATACGTAAGTAAATGACACCATTGATCTTTTTTGATCTAATGACTCTCAGATGATGTGTCAAACTTTAATTGTGACACTAGTGTTAAAGTATCCTACCTTATATATATATATATATATATATATATATATATATATATATATATATATTTCAAAATTATTTATAATTGGAAATTTAATAAATTATCTTTCGAGATTTACTGTTTATTTAGTTAAAAGACGATGCAGTTGCGTTGCATTTTACGTAATCCGTTGTCGTGTGGTGATTGTGAATTGGTGTGGCATGTTTGTTGCGGTCTTCATATTATATTTACAGGGGAAACCCAGACATTTGTAGGTTGAGGAATAACACAGATCACGAAACAGAGAAAGATGATAAGGTTAGTGTCGAGTGTGGTTGTGACGGTTACGTTGGTTGTTTTGCTGATTTTGGTTGGGAATTCGAAGGAACTGGTTCAAGTCGAAGCCTCTAATTCAGTTTCTGCCTTCGTTCAAAATGTCATCTACTCCAACAGAATCGCCATGTTCTCCAAATCCTATTGCCCGTGCGTCCCTTTTTTAATTTCCCCTTTTATGAAATTGTGAAATTATGGATTTATGTTATTACGCACCAACAATTAGGGTTTTGCTTATATTATGTCTTTTGACTCTGCCTGGTGTTTACATGCCACAAAGAATTAATACTGTTTCTGTCAATGTTTTAATCATTATGTTCCTCAATTTTGTTTTATGTTTATGATTTATTATTAATTGATTAATAATATGTGATAGGTATTGTTTGCGCGCTAAACGCATGTTTGGGGAACTAAATGAGCAACCTTTTGTGGTGGAGTTGGATCTGCGAGGTAATCTATTCATAACTGCCCAATGTCTCTCCCTGTTTATATGTTATCATCATGTTCAAACTTATCATGTGGGTCACAATTTTTGTTTTCTCTATAGATGATGGGTATGAAATTCGTAGTGTTCTTCTGGATTTGACTGGTAGAAGCACAGTCCCACAAGTATATGTGAATGGCAAGCATATTGGTGGATCAGATGGTTAGTTCTTACTTCTTAGCTTTGTGATTTTATGAGTTATTATCTATCTGTTGTTACCTAAGCTATGCCATTAACCCTCTTTCTGTTTCTCATTCCCTCTGTTCTACTCACATGGTATTGCTGTGTTTGCAATTCAGATCTCAGAGCTGCAATCCAGAGTGGTGAATTGCAGAAACTTCTCAGTGCAAGTTGATGGTATTCTAGAGACTGAGGTCCAATGGCATCAGCCATACGTCAGTATGTGGAGGAACTGACATTTTTTAATGGAATAATGAAGCTTCTAGCAGGGAAAAGTGTTTTGATGCATTTTAAGTTTTCTGGGTATTTATTAGGCGACAACATGTATTCACTGGAGGAATTGCATAATGTCATTCTGCTTAGAATCCGCTGGAGTTCTTCATATTTCCATTTAAGGCTTTATGGAAAAGTAGAATTCTTTGAGAGGTTGAACTCCAATTGGTCAAATTGATTTAGTTGGTTTAATTGTTAATTAAAAAATCAAGTGTGAATTTCAATATGCTTGCTGGTTGTCTTGTAATTTTTATAAACAAAAATATAAAGAATGCCAATTTCTAATATGAAGACCTGACGACCACAACCTATGAGTTGAGGAGTATTTCTCTCCGATTGTTGTTTTGTTTAATCGATCTCAAATCATGACATGATGACATAAAAAAAAGTCATATATTGTTACCAAGAGGAAAACTACGGGCATATGTAGGAACCAAGTGCATACTGCCTTGGCTTATGAATTACTTGTATTCAACCGAATTGTTTTGTTTTGAGTAACTAATGAAGTAGGAATTTACTAGTGCTGAATGTATGCATAGAACAGAATAACAAGAAAGGTTATATTGACAACTACAAATCTAAATCTGCGGTTAGGTGTATCATATATGACAGCATCTCTGTCGTATGTGATATGTATCTCGGGCCTATTGAACTAAAATCTCAGTTCCACATGCCATGAAAATCAACAAAATAATAGTGTGACGTTTTCCACGTCACTGCCACTGCACAGCATTGTCTTGAAAACAATCCTTAAACCTCTAGTGTTGTGTCCATTATCAGGACGAAGCTACAGAATCAGGCCTCCAATTGCCTTTCTTTGCACAGAGCACACCCTCTTGCTTTTGGGAGGAGGTTATTTCCCAATGCAGAGATTTTAACAAAGTTTCCACTTCGCCGATGGTGCTGGATTCATCACGGACAATCAATTTACCTCCCGGTCTGACTATTCTATCCACTTCTGCCAAAACAGGAGCAAGCTTGCACCTGAAAAGTCAAAACAGCAGAACCGGATTAATCGTGGTGCAGTTTTTCTAGTATGGGTTGAAAAGGTCGAAGGATAACTACTTCCATTCATACCTCTCTTTAAGCTTCGAGAAAAGATTATCTGCATGCAGTAGATCATAAGTTCGTGGATACGTGCTGAAGGATTCACACCAGTCATGGTATATCCCAAAAAGACCCCTCTCATAGATGATGGGAAGTGTGTCCGGAGAATCTGTGTTTACCACATTGAATACCCAAACTGGAAGATCCCTCAGGGCTGCTGCAAATCTGCAAGCACGTGACTAAGTATTAGAGTAAGCATCGCATATCAAATAAAAATGTATAGTAGTTATACTCCAAGTTGAATCAATACCCCCCATAGACAGCTCGCATGTCCATGACATTTCTCACGTTAGACCAAGTTATACCAAAGTTGCTCAGCTCGTCCACAACGTTTTTCCAACGTTCACTGTCTGCTGCAAAATCTTGAGAAGCTGGTTTTCCATAAATCCCCACCTGCGAGTTGTTTAACCAATATGGGGCTTTCTGTAGTCTACGAGGCCAAGGTTCAGGCCATCTGGCTCCTCTCTCAGCCTTGTTAACCGGCACCTTGTGCATGCATGCCTGCAGAGGTACATACCTGTAGTATAATACATTTGGCCAATCAAGATTAGAAGTACTGTTATGATGTATTCTACAGCTCAAATCAACTGTATATAACATGTAAAACCACCACTTTTGTCGATGTGCCAGTGGTAAAAGATTTACCAGGCTGCATTTGGATCATCATCGTCCTTGCACATTGGAGGTTGGTTTTTCTCCCTTTGCTCATAGCATTCGTTGGTAGTGGGTTTGCGGTAAATGGCGGCACCAACATGATTCAGTGCATCCTTGTTGATAGTCACAAGCTCCCAACACATGGCTTTCGTCAGTGTGGACATTTCTACAAGAAAATTACAAGATGTCAGTGACTGTAAAATTGCTGAGTTATTATCTTCTCAACAACAAAGATATGATATGCAATATCCCTACGGTTCCATATCTCGACATCTTCTTCAAGCTTCTGGTACACGGGAGTAGCAGACCAGACAAAATAACCACCCGGTCGCAACACCCGATTCAATTCCAAGAGTAACATGCCACCTACAACAGAGTTTCGCATTTCTTAGCAAACATGTTCAACGCAAAACTGTGGCATTTTTATTAACAAACAACATGAAATGGAAAATCTAAGCTCGAGAAAAGTGTTAGTGATACCAACCCTCTATATGCCAAGGTACTCGACAACGTGCACAATGTAAGAGATCAAAGACACGGCTGGGGAATGGTAGCCTTTGAGAACCCATGACAGCAGATATGGCAGGAATCCCTCTCTCAAGGGCAAATTGGACTTGTGCTTCGTGTTCATCTTTGGGTGCAAAAGACATTGCAATAACATCTCTATCGAATAGGTAACCTCCAAAACTTCCAACCCCACACCCAACATCCAAGATCACCCGGGTGTGCTTTCCCCATGCAATGCCAGCTTCAGCCTGCATGAGTGAAATTATAAAACTGTCGCGTAGAAATTATGATTAGCAGTATAAAATTCAAATTCTGAGCTATATATATATATATGAATCCCAATTATTAAATAAAGGTTGCCTGCTTGATCTAACAAATGGCTTAGTTAAGAAATTAGAGTTGTGATTACCTGTTGAAGAAAATCAATGTAGTGGAGAGCTCCATGAATGAATTGGGTGCCACCTCCAGGGAATGTCAAGAACTCACCCGTTAACTTCACCCAGTTCTGGTGTCCCTTTACCTGTGCCAGCTTCGTGTGTGGGACGTTGTGGTACCATATCTGTTTTGAAAGACAATAATAAAAAAAAGTTTTTAATTTTGAAGATATCAAAGGCACAAATAAATGTGTGAGATGTTCCTTTGAACCAAAATCACCTTATCTCTGCTCTTAGGCCATTCGATGGGTATTTTGTAACCTTTTGGAAGTGGCACCAGGCAAGTAGGTGCCTCCTCAGGACAATGTCTTTCCCTGTGTTCAAAGTGTTTTGTGCTTCGTAACTGTTTCAAAGCCTTTTCGTTGTCCAAACATGGTATATAATCAGCACCTGCGGTGACTTTGCAGAGATACCACGTTTGATCTTGCTGTTTCTCCCCATCGCCCGATTCATCGTTCTGTCTATTGTTTTCGCTCCGTGACTCATCTGCTTGTGTTGACCACGACTTCTTTGACTTTCGGCCCTTCTTCTCTGCTTTTGGCTTCTTGGTTTCTTCACTTTCATCTTGCACTTTCTTCTTCTCGGTTTTCTCAGGCTCTTCCTGAGAGACTTGAGAGCTTTCACCTTTTACGGCTGCGTTTGAAACAAGATTTTCATCTTGTTTCTCTGGCAGGTCTTGCTGCTTTTCATTTGATCTTACCTTTTCATCTTTCTTTGTGATCTCACCTTTGTCATCTCTTAACTGTTCTTTATTTGCTTCTTCATCATTGTTTTTAGACCCAAAACTCTGAACATCTTGTTGCTGTGCCGTGCTTTGTTCTTGATTTTCAGCCGTATTTACATCCTGAGATTCTGTTGCATCATGAGTCTTGGCACTCTCTTCTTCATCCTTTTTGTTTCCTTCAGACGCTTCAATACTACCTTGCTGAATTTTCTCAGACTCTAAATTTTTCTGATCATTATCTGAAGCTGCTTCGGAGGCTTGTTCTTTTTGAGTTAACGAACTTGCCTCTGATATCTGAGAGTCAACACTTGCACTCTGTTGTTTGTTAGGATTTTTGTCGTCAGACTTGATGGCATCATCGGGGAGATGACCAGGATTGTCTCCAAAGACAGTAGTACGAGTATCCTTGGCGGTGTCCTCGGCGCTTTTGACGGTGGTTTCAACTGATTCTTCGGTGGTTTTGGTGGTGGTTTCGTGGGACTCTTCGGAGGAAGATGAATCGTTATTGGTGGTGTCAGAGGTATCAATGGCTGTACGAGTAGACGTGCCTTCAACGGTGTCTGTTTGAGGCGACACTACGGAGGAGTTGTTGCTTAGCATCCATACACCAAAAACACATAGTCCGATGAATGCTAATATTGTTAAGGTTGAAACGTAAGACGGCGATGACGACCTCCTATTGTTTCGTGCCTTGAACAGTGCCATAAGAGTGGTGTGCGTCTATATGTTCAGAGGGGAATTAAAATGGATCCAGTTTTGTTGAAGAAGATTATGAAAGTGAGACTGCAGAGAGAGAGAGAGAGAGAGAAGATTGTGGAAAGAAATGGGTAATAAGTTAAGATGGTAAGAAAGTGTGGGAAATATTCTAAGGTGGAAGTTGGAATGTATCGATGATCCAAAAGAGTAGGAGTAGGGAATTCGTTAAGACAGTTTGGTTGCTATGTTAGGGATTTCACAACACTAAGAAATGACGTCAGGCTTTGGTCTCGCCTTTGTTTCAGGAGTTTTTCTTTTTTAAAGGGCGAACTAAATAAACTGGGAGTGAATCCTATGGCGTGTCTTATTTAACATGATATGATCATTGGAAAAATCATAATAAAGAATATAACTTTATATTTTTTAATTTTAACTTTGTAATTGTTGATTTCGGTCAATCAAAGATTATAATTTACAAATCTAATTATATAATAAATTAGTAGTTTAAAATAAATTATAATTATTGATTGACGAAAATTAACAATTAAAATCTAAAATGATACAAAATTATATCATTTTTTTTTTTTGGAAATAAATTATATCATTTTAAAAGACAAATATTTTTCCCCATAATTATATAGAAGTGAATCAATACTGATAAGAGAAGAGTGAGAAAAAATATTAAAATAAGTAGTTATAAATTTAGGATAAAGGATTTCTCCAGTAAATGGAGATAAGTTATCTACGGTGAGTTCAAAACGACGTCGTTTTGGGACGGAAATCAAGGTATTTTTGTAATTTTAATATATTGTAAGATTATATTAGCCTTTATCTTTATAATTTTTTAATCTTATAACTTAAAACTACTTCGTTTTGAGCTAACCAGAGAAATATTTTTCTCATAAATATTGAAGGTTTAAAAAAATGTGCATTCTTCTATATGGACATTTCAATTTGTTTGAGCCCAAGACTCGTCATGGACGGAAGCCGGCCCATCATTGCAGATCAATCTGAGAGCAAAAGTTTGCGAATCGTATTTGGTGTAACATTGTAACATGGGTTTTATTAGTGTCATGTAACATGATGTAAGTATTGTTTCCAACTTTCACATCAAAAGAGAGAGAGAAAGTGGAATGATGAAAGAGAAAGAAAAACATGTGGACCCCACCTCTTTAATGTGTGTGTAGGAAAGTGAAGTTATATTATGTTAAATGATAAACATAAAACCCTTGTAACATATACATAAAAATGAAGTGAAATGGCGCCCCTTTTCTTATGTTGTAAGAAAAAAATTATTTTACGTTGAAGAAATAAAATTATAAGTGGGACCCACAGACAAGAGAAGAGAGAAAAAAGAGTGATGGGACCCAACCTCTTTTTATATGTGTAGAAAAATTGATTATCTCATGTAAAATGAGTAACCATTACCCTTCATATATATATATATATATATATATATATATATATATATATATATATATGAGGTAGGATCCTTTGACACCGGTGTCAAATTTGAAGTTTGACACCTCATCTGAAAGCCGTTAGATTAGAAAAGATCAATGATATCACATGCCTACAAATCAGAGTCGTTGATATTTTTTTATCTAACGGCTCTCAGATGAGGTGTCAAACTTCAAATTTGACACTGGTGTCAAAGGATCCTACCACTATATATATATATATATATATATATATATATATATATATATATATATGACTTTATATTTCTGCAGCAGTCAAAAACTTATCATATATATATGTGAAAGCATTAAATATGAGGAATCATAATAATATAAAAGATAAAATTATTAAATGTGAGGAATCATAATCCTCTATGAAGCACCGACACTTCAAAAATCTTAACGTGTCGTGTCCGACACTCTCCGACACTTCAACACGCATTATAAAAATTCAAAAAAAGTTCAAAGGTTGCGTTGCGTTGAGTTTTTAGTTCCAACTATTATATTCGTTGAATTACGATTACCATTTAATATAAATATTTGGGATATCTTATGTTTCTTTGCGAAATTGATGAATATTTTAAGTTTAGTTTCATTTTTTGTTAAATTATTATTATTTTTTTGTAAATATATTTTGTTAAATTATTGAATATTAAATATTATATACACTACATAAATTAAAAATATTATTTAATATCAAAACGTGCCCTAACGTGTCGAAATCTATTATTTTTTAGAATTAACGTGTCGGAGTGTCGTGTCGTATCGTGTCACGTGTCTCGTGTCGGTATCGGTGCTACATAGATAATCATATGTCTGTTAATGTTATACATAAAACGACTGTAGAAATAATTTTTCGAGATATATATATATATATATGGGATTTATATTTCTGCAGCTGCTGTACGTGCAACAATTAAATACTTGCCATATATATATATTCGAAAGCATTAAATGCGAGGAATTATAACCATACAAAGGATGAAAGCATTAAATGTATGGAATCATAATCATACATCTGTCATTGTTGTACGTAAAACGGCTGCAGAAATGATTTTACCTATATATATATATATATATATATATATATATTATTCAATTCGGGTATAATTATATATTCGATCAAGCATTTCATATCAAATTTTTACATTAATATATGGGTTCGCTTTTTCTACAGTTACTGCAGATAAGTTATCTGCAGTAAGCTCAATACAACATTATTTTGGGACGAAAATTATGGTGTTTTTGTAATTTTAATTTATTTCAGAATTATTATAGTGTTTATAATTATAATTTTCTACTATGTCAATCTCAATTATCTGCATTAATTGCAAAAATATTTTTTCTCTTAATATATTCTCATGAACTCAAATTCAAAATGATTGGTTATGTAGAATAATCTGTTACCAGATGATATATTTTTTATTTTCTTTTTAATAGAAGATGGTTACGCCAAATTATGCCACTAGAATAATCTGGGCCACCTATTCCTCGCTCTTCTTCTAAAAATATACTCTCGTAGTCTCATTCTTATTTATTCAATTACTTTAAATATTAAATAATTAAAATAATTAATTACTACGCTAATAACTATCAATCAATAAAAATGGTTATTTAATAAATAATTAAAAATAATAAGTATTAAAATTAATATTTAATAACTAAATTCTAAAACTAAAATTACTAATTAAGAATTATTAAAATCAATAATCAATGATTAAATCAAAGATAAATATTTACTAGAAATATTAATTAATTATATAATTATTTGCTACATAAATTAATGGATATATAAGGTAAGTTTATAATTAATGGATGAAATTTTCTGTAAATTAATTACTAATTTAGTCATTCTTATAATTAAATCACATAAAAAATTTCATCCATTAATTGATCATATGAATAAACAAATTTTATATATAATATACTTAACTTATATATCATTAATGTAGCGAATAATTATTATGATTAATTAGTAATTTTAGTAATTGGTAATTATTTGATTTAATATTCATTTTAAATTATTAATTTTAGTAAATGACAAGATATTGTGCCTATTTTTTATGCCTAGTTTTAGTAAGTGGTTATTAATTATTGGTAAATATGTTCCACCAAATACTGAATTGGAAATTTTTGAGAAAAGAAACCCAAATTGGTAAATAAACCTGATTATGACTGATCCTGAAGTGACTTGGGCCCAAATATAAATATTGGGGAATGGTTATAGACGATATAGAATAATACCTGCATAGACAAGGTTTTAAAGGGAAACACCCTAGTTCGATGACTTTTAAAATAAAATAGTCTCTACAATGAATAAATAAGAATATGTTACTTGCAAATTTGATTAAAAATATTTAATAATTCAAATTTATTAAATTTAAAGTAAACGTGTCTTAATTTAAAAAGCAAAATTACTTTGAAAATGCTTTTTTTTTTTCTTTGTACTCATAGAAATGAGAAGAAAAACACAACACTAATCTTTTATATTAATGCGAGCGACGGTGATGATTAATTACTTTGGTTCAGAAGATGGGTTCCAACATACAGGGACACTTACTATTATTATTCAATAATAACTAAGAATAGATGCATGTGAGAAAATTCCAAATTGAAAGAGTGGTTACTTTTTTCTCTAAAGCAATTCTACGCTCGCGATAAGCAAGGTCCTGAATTTGGTACCAAATAATGTTTTTAAACGAAGGACAAACTGAATCTTTCAATATGAAGGTCAGGAAACAAGGATATGCATAAAAGGGACAAAAAGAGTGCTTTTGTCCCAGACATGAAGATGACGGGCTAAGCAACTGTATATTAACCAAATTTTGGACAGTGGATACAATTTTCGTTCAAAAAAAAATTAGAAATTATGTATTCTCTAAAATATACAGATATAATTTTAAAATTATTTTTTCTTTTTCTTTCATTAGAAAACATATCAGCTGATTTGTTATACTCTTATTAGTGGGATGTAAATACTACTATAGTATATTAGATTTTTTTTCGTCAAGCTGCTATAGCCACGTATGAAATGTTCATTTTGATTTTTTGCGTTGATTATATATAAATCTTATTAATACGTCACCAAAAGGATATTTAGTACACTCGCACATTCAACTATTACAATTTCAATTAATTTGCCAAGAAAAAATAATAATTCTAATTGCAGAAATAATCAAAGAATCTATTAAATGATTATGCACCTATCAATTAGATCTTGGAGTGCCCTATTCATAGTCTTCCTTTTTTTGCTTTTATTTTTAGTATAGAATGTCTAGCAATATATATACAAGTATTTAGCTTGTCATCATAACACTTTTACCATCTATTAGTGGATCCCAGGCCTGAAACTATGATGCAACAGAGCCGACACATATAGTTATTATTGGATGACATTCTAATTCGCTCATTTTTATTTTTTTAAATGGTGCTTCCTAAGTACACAAAAACAAAATTAGGAATGAAAGATGTAAGACCAAAGTGAATGAAGTTTTAAGAGTAATGCTAGTTACACAGTTACCTCTGTATAAACTATATACAAAGGATTTG